GGCGGGACGAGGCGGCCTGCCCAGCGTCGGTCCCAGGTCCGGTAACCTAGGCCGCAGTGTGTTTCCTGAGCTGGTCGGGAGGGTCATGGCCACCCGTTTGGTGGGAAATGAGTTAGCAAACAGCTCGGTCCTTCGCCATGCTCCAGCATCCCTCATGCTCCAGCATCCCTCATCCTTCTGCTCTGCTCAGGGTGAGTTTGGGATCAATAGCAGGGCTTCAGCTTGAGCTGTTTGAGAGGTCTCTGGAAGTAAAACTTGTAGAGGCCTATTCCTCTTCTCTCCAGTGTGTGGGAGATCTTTTTTGTTTTCTTAAGGATAGTTGTTCTGTGCAAATTTAGATGGGCAGTAGATTGGAAGGTCCTCAACAGGACAGGCAGACTGGAAGGACCAGGCAGTGTAGCGCTGTGGCAGTGGTTTGTTTTGGTGTATTGAGGCAGTTGTGTCCATGTGTCACAGGAGTCTGCGGGAGGAGAGGAAATTGGGAAGGCTGTGCTGATGAGCAAGAAATGCCCATGTTACCAGCAGGTAACATTAGTTTAGTAAGAGCTGGAAAGGGGAAGAAACAGTTCCACAAAATAATGGAGGAAGGGAAAAACAGCAGAAGGGAAGGTGAAATGGACTACAGAGACAGCATAGAAAAGCTAAATTATATTCTAAGGGGGGAAAAGGAATGAAAAAAAAAAGGAAATTAAAGCATCAAGAAAGAATGCAAGAGACAAGGAGAGTACTGTCTTTAAATAGGTATTCTGGTGAAGAACCCATCAGTGTGGATTTTAATGATCATGAAGTCTCCTTGTGCAGAGGCTGTGGATAGGACCAGCCTGTTTTGGGGCAGAAGTGAATGGGCCTAGCAGGTGTTCACTGCTGGGCAGCAGATTTGGCAACTGTGTGGGTGAAAAGGTTGCTGGCTTCCTGCTCCAAAGTGGCTGATCCTATGCACAGTGTCTTTATCTCATTTTCATTGACATCTTGTAAGCCTTTGTTATTTTAACAGGATTGTTTTGGAATTGCAGCTAAATGGAGTATTGTAGTGCAAGTGTCTCGTCTGTCTTTGTGAAGTGTTAGAGTAGCTTCCACGTCACTTTTCCTTTAATGCTTGCTTTGCACTTTTGACTGTCATTGCTCAAAGCCTTTCATTTGTCTGTCCAGTGATACTTTGAGTATCCAGTGATACTCAAATATTACCCTATATAGTATTTAATTACTCTGTGCCCCAGTTACTTGTATAATTAGCACCCATCTTTCCTATAGTGCAGCAGTCTGCACTGAATTTGAACAGTGTAGTGGCAGATGCTCTTGTCCAAGTCCTAGAATTTATTGGTTTTCTTAAGCCCTTCTGACTGCCAACAGCGTGATTGCTTTAAATTGCTGAGCTGCTGAGCATTCAGCTCTTACCCGAATGTGGGCACAGTTCTCTGGTCTGAAGGTGGTGTCATGTTCTGGGCAGGCAATAAGTGTACAGGTGCTGTCATCCCTAAGAAGACAGGGGACAATGGTGTTTGTGGAAGCCCAAGCAAGAGTGGATATCAAACTGTAATAAAGTAAGTGGGAATGGTGTTTTGGGGTAGCAGTGCAATGAAACAGTGCTGTATTCACATTTCCTTTGTCCCCTGTGTGGCAAACTGGATATACGCCATTCCCTTAACCCTCCTCAGAGGACTGATGGGTGTTGACAGAGCAGAGTTCCTGAGTGTTCAGAACAAGCAAAAAGAAAACATTTCTTGAGGCAGCAGTTGGATATGCCTATTACGTTTTCTGGATGATGTGAGTAGATTCTGAATCAGAAAGTCTTGGTTATTGCCAAGATGAGAGTGACTGAGATGATGAGTCCACGCTCTGAGCCAGTGTGACTGACTTCATGTTGCTTCCTGAATTTGGCAGCACGTTTGATCTCAGCATGCCAAAACCTTGTGTCATGGGGCAGTGTAGTGGGTTTACAAGGCAAGGTTTTGGTAGTGAGGGGGCTGCAGGGGTTGCTTCTGTGAGAAGATGCCAGAAACTTCCTGCATGTCCCATTGGCTCAGCCTTGGCCAAGGGCTCTATCAGCAGTGGTGGCAGTGCCTCTGTGGGTAACGTATTTAAGAAGGGGAGAAAAAAAAACCCAAACTGCTGCAGAACAGTAGCTGGATGAGAGGAGTGAGAATATGAAGAAGGAGGGGGAGGAGGTGCTCCAAGTGCTAGAGCAAAGATTCCCTTGCAGCCTGTGGTGAAGACCATGGTGAGACAGGCTGTGCCCCTGCAGCCCGTGGGGGACCCCATGCTGAAGCAGGTGGATGTGCCCCTATGGAGAGCCTGCACTGCAGCAGGCTCCTGGCAGGACCTGTGGAGAGAGAAAGGCAATGCTGGAGCAGGTTTGCTGGCAGGACTTGTGACCCCACGGGGGACCCATGCTGGAGCAGTCTGTTGCTGAAGGGCTGCACCCCATGGAAGGGACACATGCTGGAGCAGTTCATGAAGAACTGTAGCCTGTGGGAAAGACTCACGCTGGAGAAGTTTGTGACCTTCTCACCCAGTCTCCCGTGAGTGGGATCCCACGCTGGAGCAGGGGAAGAGAGAGTGGCAGAGGCAATGTGCTATGAACTGACTGCAACCCCCATTCCTTGCCCTCCTGCATTGTTTGTGGGGGAGGAGGTAGAGAAACTAGGAGTGAAGTTGAGCCTGGGAAGAAGGGAGGGGTGAGGGAAAGGTGTTTTAAGATTTGTTTTTTATTTCTCATTACTCTGATTTGATTGGTAATAAATTAAATTAACTTTCCCCAAGCTGAGTCTGGTTTAGCCCATGCTGGTAATTGGCGAGTGATCTCTCCCTGTCCTTATCTCGACCCACGAGCCTTTTGTTCTATTTTCTCTCCTCTGTCCAGCTGAGGAGGGGAATGACAGAGGTTTGTTGGGCACCTGGTGTCCAGCCAGGGTGAACCCACCACAGGCAGGTTGTGATTGTTTTTGCCAGGCCTGAACACCCAGAGGTTAAATCCAGAAAGAATTGTTGATAATGTTTTTACATTGTGGTTATAAGAAGTGTTAAAGGTTACTGTCGCTGAGGGATATTAAAGAAATGGAGCAACAGAAAATTCCAGAAGAGTGTCTTGCGCATTTGTCGGCCCTTTGGGTTTTGCTTGTTGGTGGTGTTTGTGTGGTCTTGTAATCAGCAGAAGACCAAAGGAATATTTTATTGAAATTGGTTTTTGGTGTTGTGGGGTTTTGTTCTTCCCCCAGTGATTCAGGCTATAAGCTATTCCTGTCAGTAGTGAGATGGTGAAGGCTGAATGTTTGGATTTCAGAAGTTTGCAGGACTCTGGGGTGCCGAGGAGGCTCTGCTGTGGGAATTGCTTCATTGCAGACTGAGCAGAGCTATGGTGGTTGCGCAGTGGAGAGAGACGGTCTCCAAATCTTAACAGAGAGGCTGAATGGGCCACGTGGTTCCCTGCACCGTCTGGCTGCTCCCATGGTGTGAGATGTGATGATGCCCGTTTAAAGGTGATGGGACGGGAACAGTCTGTTAAAGAGCTAGGACTGAGATGTGACCCCTCAGAATTTGCAATGCGGCCAAATTATAGCCCAGTGCAGAGCTTTTACTGCGCTCTTTTTATGAGACACAAGCTTTGAGCTGGTCTTGTGTGTGCTGCTGAGCGGAGAGAGAAGCAAAGACGCACTGGGGAGAGAGGGAGACTATTCTACTGTGAAAGACTTCAGTGATTAAGGAGAGAGAAATCAAAGGCTGAAAGATGCAGTGGCTTCTTTTTGCCATGCAGCTGTACAGGGATGGCACTGCTGTGCTCGTGTCACTGTCTCGTGCTCTCAGACATACCCCTGGGTGGAATTTGGAGGATGGGAAGTGCACTGAGAAGATGTTTGGTTCAGATATGTCCTGTGTTCTCTTCCAGATCAATCTCACGTGTCTTTTGAGGAACTACTGCGGGTGCAGAGTGATACGAGAACAAAAGTGTGCAAGCGGGTCACCAGTGGGAAGAAAACTGCAAAACCTACCAGACCTACCGTGAAGCAGCAACAAGGCAAAAAGGGGTAAAAGAGATTCTTTTGTCATCAAAAAACCGTGCTTGTGTGCTCTCTGCACTCCAGAAGTTATGCTGGCAGCTTCTCAGTGTTGCCATTGGAGCTGGTGTAGATCTCCTTTAATGTGCTACACAACAATGCCTTACACTGTAGTGTTTAATTTGGGAATGGCCTGTTGCTCTTTTGGAGCTCTTAATAGCCTGTCCTGTTCAAATCCCCAGCAGCCACCTGTTACTTGATAGCTACGTTGGCACTCACTCCCTTTACAGCCTCTGTATTAAGGCACCTCTAACCCACGGCATGGTAAGCTGTAAGATAGTGCTTTCCTTGTGCACCCTGGGCCCTGAAATAGTCACTTGCTCTCTTCTAAACCCCTTCCAGCTGATCAGCATCTCCTGCCTGGCTCCCGCAGGCCATGGCAGCCTGTTGGCCTGGAATTTCACTCATCCTTCCCCTGTTGTCTCACCTGTGTTTTCTGTGTTGATTTTCCTTTTTCCCCCCTCTACAGTACTTACTGTCACAAACTTTTTCCTGTCCTCAGTGGTCTTTGCATCTCTTATTTGCATAGGTGCTACTGATGTGGTGGCTATAAAATGTATTCAACATCTGTCAGATCTTGTTACAGTACCATTTATTTGCAGTAGTCAGCTGGTTTTCAGTCCTCAGAGTCGTATCAAAGTGACTTGAACAGGTTTCCTCTGTTACACTGGCATTCCCTAACCTATTTCTGAGTCTCTGCTGAATGTGGTTTTTTTCTGCTGTAAACAGCTGATTAGAATAATGTTTCTGTTTTCCTTTTTACCCGAGTGGGGGATTTGTGTAGTGTAACTTCTTCACACAATGTCTCTCCTTCTGCCTCGTAGTTTGCATAATTCTGTTTTTATTTAATTCTCCTAATCCTTTAAGTGACGTATCACTGTAAATCCCACATGCAGTTTCTCTCGTGTCTTTGTTATGAAAGTGAGCTTCTTTCATTCAAAAAAAAAAAAAAGATTTCAGGGAAATCCTTTAGAACTGGCTTCAGCAAGACTGTGTAAAGCTGACTTGAGAGCATGGCCCAGGGGTGTAGCCACTTCAGCAGACATTAAAATACACTGAACACTGCCCTGTGGGAGATTTGGAAAACTTGCTTATGCCTGTGGGGTTGTTTATGTTCCTGCCCTGGTGTCACTGGTGGTGAATGTGGGTCTAATGTTGTCATAGTAATAGTTGAGTACAGCCCATTTACTGATGCAGGTGGTGGATTTTCACTCAATACAGTGGGGCCGTATCAAGTTGTGTGTGGGATTGTTTTAACTGCACATGTATAGATCATCAGGTTGTAGTAGCCTTGTCTGGCTCTTGATCGAGTCACCTCTTTGCTCTCTGTAGGTATCATGGTGAGGATCGAGTGGGAGAGTCTGCTGTGTCGGCACTGTGCAGTAATGTTCTCCTGAGGGTCTGGCTAACCTCCTGAAACGTTATTCTTGGCTTCATTCTGTCCTCTGCTGTTCTGCAGTACATTTTTCTCTTTTTCAGGCCAATGGAGATGTCTTCCAAGAAGCCTGCACCTTTTCTTCGACAAGTCGTCTCTGTTAGAAAGAAGGTAGATGCTTCCCCTCCACAGTTCAGGAGCTGACTTCCCTTAGCGATGCTAATAGGGCACAGACACAGTAATGGGGCTGCTGAAGATGGCAAAGGCTGTTTCTGGAGGATAGGGCTTGGACCACTGGTGAGCACAGGTAGCGCTAGCACATGTCTGAGGAGAACAAGAGATTGGGTGCAGGAGCAGCTGCTCTCTGTAACCTGCTCCCTTGCATAATGCACAGCTTGAACATTTGAGACCCAAGTGTTTCTAGAAGACTTAATGGCTGCTACCACTGACAATTGCACTGCAGACTAAGGTTCAGTATTAATCACATTGGAAGTTCAAATGTCCATCTAGTTTTTAATCTGGATGTAACTTTAACTTATCATTGCTGTGGATCATCTTAATATGGTAATTTCCACAGTTGGATCTATTTGTGTATGACATGACTCAGGTTATCTATGAAAGTCCAGGTAGGTTTGAATTCCCAAATCCATCACCTTGACAACGTGTGTTCAGCCATTTCTTGGTCTGGGAGTTACATCTGTTTGGAGGCAGCACTCATGCTGCTGTTCCTTGAATTGGCTACTGCTGGGTGGTAGACTTGCATATGGAAATGCCTGTTGCTTGGTAGATGGGATGCAGGTGTGATGACTTCCTGAGGAACTGCCACCTTGGTCACTGGACTCAGTCTTTGCCAACTGCAGATGTTTTCAATGGCATGTGCATAATACTGCTAGTAAAAAGAAACATGGCAAGGTCTGGTCCATGGAAGGAGAGTAAGCAGGCTGTTAACAGGGTAATCCTGGCCACAGCTCTTACCTTTGCCTGCCCTGCTTTCAGGTCCACAGAGACCCTCGATTTGATGACCTGTCTGGAGAGTATAAGCCTGAAATATTTATGAAGACGTACAGCTTCCTGAACAGCATCAAGAAGCAGGAGAAGGAGGTGATGCTGTGTGCCTGTCCTTGGCCAGAAGAACCTTGCTTGGCAGGGGCAGCTTCTGCAAAGGCCTTTGGGAGTGGAGGTGGCCAGCAGGCAGTCATGCAGCTTTCTGCTCTCTTCTTCAGATGGTTCAGAAGCAACTGAAAAAATGCCGGAACACAGAGCAGAAGGAGAAACTCCAGCAGCTCCTGAACCGTATGGTGAGTTCAGTGCAGCATCTCCCCTCCTACAAGGCAATGCACTAGAAGGCAGGATGTGTGACGTGAGGTCTGCCTAGACACATGCTGACACAGGGCATCCTTTCTGTACAGATACAGCAAGAACAGGCACAGGAGAAAAAGCAGAAATTGAGGGAGAGGGAGCTGGCTTTGAAGAGAAAACAGAGGGAGTTGGCCAAGCAGGGAAAGAAACCCTTCTTCCTTAAGAAATGTAAGTATTCAGTGTGAACATGCTGCAGGAAGACCTAGAGGGAGTACTGCTGACAGGACTCCAAGCACTGGAAGTGAGTTGTCCAAAATACTCCACAGAGCTGTGGAGGGATTGTTCTAGTGCTGGTACCCAAGGGAGAAACCAGGCCTGGATGCAGGGAGGGCAAGGTGAGGAGGGCTGGTCCATAGGCATGATTCAGGCTTCAGCGTAAAACCTTGTTTCCCATTCCCCTACAGCTGAGAAGCGAAAATTGGAGCTAGCTGAGAAGTATGCAGAGCTGAAGAGGAGCGGAAAGCTGGAGAGCTTCTTGAACAAGAAGAGGAAGAGGAATGCCATCAAAGACAAGCGCCATCTGCCCTCACAGAAGAACTTGTGACTGCTGGACAGGCAGGCAGCTGTCTGGCACTGGGACTTGCTCTGCCCTGGCTAGGCCTGGAGGATGGCCATCACTCTGCCCAGTATCTGCCTTTCACTGTACAGTGATGCTGTTGGACAGCAGAGCAGAGGCTGAACTGAAGGAAACGGTGATTTTTGTAGCTGAAATGTCCTCTTTGCTTGTGGTTTACACCATGCCTGGGTGGTGACAAGTCTGTCATGCAGATGCACATGATGTTGACAGCTGTCTTTGTCCTTGCACCTTTTCTAGCTAGGAAAGCATGAGCCCTACCTTGTGTTGCTGGCTCTATTCCAGGTCTTATCAGACACCAGCTCAGGTGGGAAAGGACCTTAGGTGGGAGGGCTCCAGTACAATGCCTGTGTAGAGCAGGGCTAGTGCTGACTTCAGACCAGGTTGCCCAGGGCTGCTTCAGTTGGGTCTGGACAGATGTCCAGACAGATGTCAAGGACAGATGCCACCACCTCTCTTTGTGCCTGCTTTGCTGCTTCAAGTTCTCAAGATGAAACGTTTTTAATTTTCCTCCTCCAGGAAACCTGCCTCGACTTAGTCCATAATCATTGTCTTGTTCTCAGTGAAGGGCCTGGCTCCATCTTAGCCTTGTCGTAGGGGTGCGTGGGAAGGAATGCTGTAGGTCTCCCCAAAGCCTTCTCTTCCTCAGGGTGAAAGAATGGTGTTCCCTCAGCCTTTCCTTGCAGTGCTTCAGCCTCTGACAGCGTTCACATCCTCAACTGGATTCAGCCCAGAGGGCCATCGCCCATCTTCTGGGGGCGCAGCCTGGATGCAGTATCTGGATGTAGTCTCACAACTGCTGAGTAAAGGAGAGACGATCACACCCCTTTGTGTGGGCTGCACCCTTGGTGCTGCAGCCCCTGGTGTGGCTGGCCTTCTTGTGGCTAGGGCACCCTGCTGGTGGTGCTCGGGTGCTGCTGGGATCTCTCCAGCAGGGCTGCCTCTTCTTGGCTCCTTGTGGTGGTCTCTGCAGGGCTATTAGTGCTTCCAGGAAACTGATTCTGTATGAAATAAAATACCTTGGTTTTCCTTTATTCCCAGTGTTGGTGCCGTTCCAGTCAAAAATGTTTGAACTTGCAGGAGTTAATGCCTCTCTCCATCGTTGCAGTTCCTCCTCACTCCTGCCTGCCTGTCTCCTGTGGCTGTGCTGACAAGGTGGTGATGCAGATGTGACCCAGGTGATCTCCGTCTGGCAGCTCAGAGTGTGTGCTGGGAGGGTGCCTTAGCTCTGCTGTCTGCTGGTGGGCAGCTGCTGTGTGAGGCCTGGGGAGAGGCCTTGCAATGAGCAAGAAATGGAATGATGAGCAACTCCATCACGCCCATCTGAGGGTGTTGCTGAAGCATCTGCCTCCACTGCAGTTCCTGTGGGTGATGAGTTCTGCTCTGGTAACAAATTTCAGTGTAACTGGGGGAAGGCAGTAGAAATGGGATATGCCAGCCTGGCTAGAGACCATGTGGAAACCCTCAGTTGCCTTTAACCTGCATGTGGCTTATTGCTTTGCACTGTGTCTGGATTCTTCTTCCTCTCCCTGCCTGGTAACATGTGGTGCAGAGCCTGCTGCATCCTTGTGCCTTCAGAGGAGAGTTTTCTTGGGAGTGAGTGGTGGCACTAAAGCCCGAAGCTATCCTGGCCCCTTTGTGGCATTGGTCTGCTGTTCTGTGCTTTCAATTTGGAATCTAGAGATGAACAAATCTTCCCCCTGAACTTTAAAGCAGGAAGGGAAGAAGGCTGAGACCTGGACAGGCTGGAGGTGGCTCACACCTTCACTGCCAGGGCCTTGCTGAGGGGCTGTGTGTCCCCATCCCCAGCTGCTGGTGGGTCCTGCCCAGCAGGGAGCAACCTGGTGCATCCATAAAGTCCTGCTTTCCCCTCCTGTCCCTCTGGAACCAAACGGTTCCTTCCTGCTAAAGGAAGACATCCTTGTTGGGATGTCACCTGCTTCTGTCCAGCACATCGGGGTGAGGAGCAAGGCTGCTGGCCTGTCTCTCCCTGCCAGCTCCTGGGCCCAGTACCTGCAGCACGGGAGGCTTTGGGGCATTGCCCAGCTCAGCCAGTGTTGTGGTGGCACTGAGGCAAGCAGTAGCACGGCAGCATCTGCTTGTGGGAGGAGATGCTTCCAACATCAGAGGGCTTTCTCTTTCCTGTGGCCCCCCCCTAGCCTCAATGATTCACTCGGGTTATTGCCAGTGACTAATGCTGTCCTGGCAGGGTTTCTGCCCAGCCTGCTCTGGTGTCCCTCCAGGTGGAGTGTGGGGGCCTGCTGTGGGTGTCCCTGCAGCTGGCTGCACAGGCAGTGGCTGCTGACAAAGCTTCCACATGTACTGCCCCAGTGACACCCTCTGAACCTGCCAGACCCTCACAAAGACCTGCTTTTCCTCTCCTGCCTCCTGGCCAGGAGGAATGGCTTCAGACCCAGGTGCCTGGGGTGTTCTTCCCCAGGCCTGGGCGGTCACTGAGCAAGACCCCCACCCCAGATGTGCTCTGCAGCCAGAGATCCAGGCACCCGAGGGGCAGGCACCCATGGGAGCTAGGGGGGGCCTGCCTGCTGGCAGGAACACAGACAGGAGGAGGCTGCTGGGCTCAGGTCTTTTATTGCGAAGGAGATACGAAAAAGGACAGTCGCCCGCTCTGAGCCCCCCCAGGCCTGCAGCTGGCTGAGAGGGGTGACAGGCAGGGTGAGGCCCATGCCTTGCTCCCCCAGCACAGGGGACCTCGTTTCACCCAGCAGGGAGCAGGCTGCTGCCAAACACCGAGCTGGAACAAAGGGGCGGGGGGGGTGGCCTGCAGCGTCTCCAGGTCCCAGCATGGTGGGCAAACCTGTCCTCCTCCTCTGCTCTGCTGCCCATCTTGGTGGAGTATCGAGGTCTCAAACTGCTCTGCAGCCTTACAGAGGCTGCAACGGGGGGCCCTTGCTGTGCGACCCTTGGGGACCTGAGCAGATTTGCCCAGGGAGGGAGGGAGCAGGGTCGCTGCCCTCTGTTTGGGCAAGGAGCCCAGTGGCCCGCCTCATGTTTGCAGGTACAGCCAGGCATGGTGGTGCCCAGACTGTGGCTCCTGCTGGCTGTCACGTGTTGTCTGGTGCCAGCTCCTCTGGGCAAGCAGGCTGGTCCCGAGACTTGTGCTGCCCTGAGGAAGGCTGGGCCTGGGCGCTGTGCTGCAGGGCCAGGTCCGGCCCCAGGGCCGTGTGGTGCCGGTGCCGCTGGTACTGCACAAATGTACAGACCTTCAGCCCAATAGCCAGCATGTTCTTGCCCATAAAGATGCTGGAGACCCGGGCATCCCTGAAGAAGACCATGTTGCTGCCTCGGATGAAGATGGTGGTGATGTTGACAGTGAGCATGCTCAGCATGGGGTACAGCATCATCCGGTGTGGCATGATGCCAATCCCTTGCATGCTGATCTCACAGAGGGACACGCAAGGGAGGACCAGGAGCAAGATGTAACAGTAGAAGAACATGATGCCCTCAGCCCAGAGTGGCAGCCCCTTCTTCTGGGGCTCCCACAGGTTGGCCTGGATGTCCAGCACGTCCAGCATGTCCACAATGACCCAGAAGAGGCGGTTGCGGAGATCTTCTTTCTTTTTGAATGTCCTGACGTACTCCATGTGCTCTGTGGCCACCAACAACACGTAGAGGGCTGGGATGCAGATGGAGAGCAGCAAGGTCAGCGCTTTGCGGGCTATGAGATCCAGGCTTTTCCGGTCAGCTTTATAGTTCTGGTATACAAAGTAGACTTTGATCTCCAGAACGAAGACGTATAGGAACCAGAGGATCATGGCATAGCCCCGCTTAGCTGTCTTCACCTCTGCCCCGACCCAGATGGCCACATAACGGAGCACCAGTAGGAAGCACACATCACCCACTGCCACCATGACGCAGATGCCCAGCTTCCTGGAGCCCTGGGTCTGCTCCACCAGGTAGGCATCCATGAGGACAAGGCTGGTCATGATGAGCACAGTGGAGAGGCAGACGTGGGGCTTACTGACAGGCGGTGGGGGAACCATCCTGTGTGGAAGAACAGGCAGGGCCATCAGGGAGTTGCTGGGATTCCTCATCCCCACCTTTGGGCCCCCTTCTGCCCTCCCCTTCTCCCCAGCAGCTGTGGATGGCTGAAAGAAGCTGGAAGGGGGTTCATAGACTCTTCTCCCATCCTATGTGCCTGGTTTGTTCCAAACCCACAGACTCTCACCCAAAGTGCTCCTGAGCCTCCTGGCCAGGCCATGCCAGTGGCACGTGCTGGCTGAAGCCCAGCTCCTGGGCTGGACATGGGGATACGGTGGGGCAGGCTGGACAGCCTTCAAGCACTCAGGATGCTACTGCCTCTGCCAGTAGCTCACCATTCTGGTTAGTCTCTGCCTCTGTGAAGGGTACACACACCTTCTCTTCCACGGGATTTCCCAGCCAGTGGCACTGGCTACATTCGCCCTGCCAAGGCCCACAAGACCATATCTATGCTTTTAACACAAGCAGGTCCTAACTGCTATGATCCAAGACTGCTCTCTTTTTAGTCTCCTTTATTTCATGCACAGCTTGAGGCAAAGGATTATTTTTAGCCTGGCTCTTCTGTAGGGTGGGAGAGAAGAAATCGGCCCAACATCTTCAGTTTCCTTCAGCTTCACGTTCCCCAAAAGCTCTGCCTACAGCTGTTTGCCCATGCCTACCCTGCCCCAGCACAATAAACCAAAAAGCAAGGAAAAGGAGCACCGGCCCACAGCTCTAGGACATAAGGAGCTCTGCAACAGGCCCTCAATTTCAGCTGGATGCTGAGTTTTCCCAGGCTGGGGCAGAGGAAAGCACAGGCCCCAAAAGCACCCTGCTTGCCTGGGGCGGCACCGAGGCTGTCAGGCTCCTTCCCCCCGGTCAAGCACAGCTGCGGGCAGCTGCTGCCAGAGACGGAGGGAGGACGGAGCTGGGGCCTCGCTTGGCAGCTGCTCTGGAGGGGAGCCAGCCCCCCGGCTGAAATGGAGGATGAAGCTGGCCTGCAGACTGCACAGCGCTGCACGATGGCTGCCTCCTGCACAGAGCCCGCTCAGCCACACCTGGGCCATGGGACACGGTCCCGGTCACCCAGCGGGCAGCGTGTGGGTGCCACTTGACCACAGAGCAAGTGCTTGGGAGCAGGATGGAGGCTGCGTGGGTGATGGTTGCCCCTGCACACTCACGTTCCGGTGCTGACACCAACGGCACAGGGCCCCGGGCACATGCTACCTGA